TATATCTTCTTGATTCAGTTTTGGTAATTTGTACCTTTCTAGGAATCTATCCATTTTGTCTGTGACTTCTATTCTGTGAGCGCAAAGATTCTGAAAGTGGCCATTGATAATCTTCTGAATTTCCACTGGGTCTGTAGTAATTACACCCTTTTCATTCTTTATTGCTTGTATTTGAATTTTTTCTTTCCTGTTTTTGATGAGGTTGGCTAGCGGCTTATCAATTTTATTTAATCTTTCAAAGAACCAGCTTTTTAATTCGTTAATTCTTTGAACTATTTTCTTCATCTCAATTGAATTATTTTCCAATCTGATCTTTATGATTCCTTCCCCTTTTTGGGCTCTGACTTTGGTTTGCTTTTCCTTTTCCTTTTCTATATGTTTGAGGTGGATCATTAGGGTGTTTATTTGTTCTTGTTCTGTTTTCCTAATGTGTGAGTTCACAGCTATGAATTTCCCTCTGAGAACTGCTTTCATCGCATCCCATAAATTCTGTTAAGTTGTGCTTGAATTTTCATTGAATTGTAGATATTGTTGAATTTCTTCATTAATTTCTTCTGTGACCCATTGATTGCTGAGTAACGTGTTGTTTAATTTCCATGTATTTAGCAGGTTTTTCTCATTTCTTTTGTCATCTATTTCCAGTTTCATTGCACTGTGGTCAGATAATATGCATGGGATAATTTTTGTTTTCTTGCGTATAATTAAGCATGACCTGTGTACTAATATGTGATCTATTTTAGAAAATGATCTGTGTGCAGCTGAAAAAATGTGTATTCCACTGTGTTTGGGTGGAACACTCTTTAATTGTCCACCAAGTCCATTTGTTTCAAGCTCTGGTTCAGTTCTGTTATTTCTTTGCTAATTTTTTGTCTGGTTGATCTATCTTTTTGAGATAAGGGTGTGGTAATGTCTCCTGTTAAGATTCTTGTATTAGATATTAGATTTTTTTTTACAGGCTCAATATATTTTTTTACACTTTGCTTGAAAGAAAACTTCAATATTTTACAGTCTTTTGGTAGGCATTATATACACTGCACTTTATGAAATCTAAAAGGTACTGAAATAAATTTTTTCCCAACATTTTGGTATAACAAAACAGACAATGTTTCTCCAAATATTTGTGCTATCTACATGATCTGTTTGCTCTGATAACCACTAATCACAAAAACTGACTCAATGGAATAATTAGAAAAATTATCTAACACCATGCATGGGTTGAATCATTTTTAATATCCTATCCTAGAAACATTCTACAAATCTTACGATTTAAAAAATTAAGTCTCTGTTCTGATTTTTAAAAGATATCTTTCTTTGACAATATCCATAACAATGACAAGTACATGTTAAGGCTAGTATCATCTCTTTTGTGAATACTTGTTTTGTTGTTTTTTAAGAAAGACAGTAAAAGCCAGGCTCCTTTAGGACTTTCAACTGGACCTACAGAAAATGAGTGCAGTGAACATAATATTCAGTCCTAGAGTCAGGAAGCAGTTGCTCCTTCCCATTCCACAAGATACTGCACCTTTCCATCAAGTGTCACCCGACGAGCCAAAACTCTGTACTTTTCGCCACATGCTATTCTACCTGCAGCACCAAAATAACTAGTAATGGAGTTTTTCAGATGATTGAGCTGTAATTCTTGATCTGCTAAGTTATTGAGAATCTCTGTGTTGAGTTCCT